TGGAGGAAAATATTCTTGTTACTACTACTAAGTTGGAGAAGATATTTCCATGTGGTTTCTTTGATGTGATGGGCATCTTCCAATTCACCTTGTACAAGAGGATGTATCCATTTGAGAGGTATCCATTTCAAATATTCACTAAGTTATATATATTCTCCAAGTCTTTTATATATTAACATATATATATATATATATATATATATATATATACATATATACATGCAGAAAAATTGGTAGTTCGAAGCAAACGATTAAGCAACAGGGAAGGATCGAAGGATCATTTGTTCAAGGTCATATTGGGAGAGAAACTGGTGATTTTTATTCTTATTACTTTGGTAATGATGTGTCATGTATGAGAAATAGGCCCAATCGCAATGATGAAGGCGATATTGATCCTTTATTTCCACCGATATCAATTTTTAATCAAAATGGTCGAGGATCTAAAAAGCGTGGAAAGCGAGGCTTCACTGATATGGAAATGCAATCAGCTGTGACACATATTTTGCTTAATTGTCCAGAGATTCAATCATATGTCAAGTAAGTATTAAAAATATGTTATTAAACTACATACTAATAAGTGATCATTAACTAACGAAATACTTGAATGTAAAATGATGTTCGTAAACACATGGGGTAATGATGCCATCTATACAAAACTTTCCAAATGGCTGAGGAACTATGTAAGTGTGCAATCACTAAGTATTTAATAATATATTCATGTTATACTAAATTATATTACTTGAAATAACAATCACGTAGGTTTATGATGAATACTCAAGTGTCCAACATTTGCAATTAGTGAAAGAAGTAGCACTTGGACTTGCATCTCAAGTACTGACAATGAATAAGTATTGTGTCAATGGTTTTAAGTTTCAAACTGAAGAAGTTTTTAGGAACAAGAAAACAAATAATAGCGGTGTCTACATACAAGGTGATGTTGATGGTACTGATCAAACTATTGAATATTATGGTGTCATTCAAGAGATTATTGAAGTGAGATATTCAGGTTGGCCTAAGAAGAAGATTGTATTGTTTTGGTGTGAGTGGTTTGACCCATCACATAGAGGCACAAAGGTGGACCACTTACATAATATATGAAGTTAAGCACACCAGGAAATATAGAAGTTATGATCCTTTTATTATTGCACAAAATGAAAAACAAGTGTATTACGCTTCATATCCATTACGTAGAGATAAAACTGATTGGTGGGTTGTTATAAAAAGTAAGCATGTGGGAAGAATTGAAATTGACAATGTCTTATATATGGCGTATCAAAATGATGTTGCAATTGTTCAACAACAAGTTGATGTTGACTTGGAAACCACACTACAACACCTCAACACATATTAGAAGAAGTATCTGATGATGAGATACTGAATGTTGTGGAAGAAATATCTGAGAATAAGGAAAATGAATCATTTGATGACGAAGAATGGGACGATAATGGAAATGAAACAACTGAGGAGGAAGAATGGGAGAATGATGGAATTGAAACAAGCGAGGATGAATAGTGTAGAATGAAAGCTAGCTAGTATATATGTAAGTGTATTTTGCTAATTTTATTTAATTTATGATTTATATATATATTATACATGTAAATTTGCATACATATGTCATCAGGCGGTGACGGTGATAGACATCACGAGCATCTTGGAGTTAGCCAGACTAAACAGGCTAAGAAGAAGAAGTCTAGGAGACCGATAAATCTTGAGGATATTGCAGGATCTATTTCTTCTGCACCAGAGCGCATCAGCCATGATACTCATTTATTTGCTGTTCCGTTTGGTACAGTGGATCCTCGGCAATATTATCTTAATTACCGTCGACCAGTCGGTGCTTCAGCTACTTCACAACCATTGCCTTCACGACGCTACAAGAACCTACCTTTACAGGTTATTCATCAAGCACGACCCTTATCGACAGGTACTCCATCTCCCACAGGTACATCTCCACAGTTATCTGCCATGAGGCTTGGAGATTCTAGTAGCGAGCAGTCATATGCTATGGCCGGTACGCCTTCATTGACTCAGCGTTTTGTGCATCATGATGTATCACCCTCGTCTACAGCTACATCTACAGCTACACCTAGTGCTACACCACATGATACGATGTCTGCTCTAACTCCTGGTCAAAAGGACAGACTTGGTAGAGTCATGATTGAGCCGGATGGATCATCGTAAGTTTGCTTTGTTATCTATTTGTTAGTTATTTTATTTATTTCTTATACTTTAATATATTATTCATGAACTAACATATTTATTATGTGTTTTGCAGGTGATATCCTGCAAAGGATGCTGCTCGGGCTTTAAAAGATTGTGTTAGAAGACTCTATACACATGCTTATCACTCTTGGAGGAGATTCCAAATAGTATACGCCAAGCGATGTTTAATAACTTTAAGGTATATATTTTTAGTTAAGTTTAGTATATTTACTTATTTTTACTATCGATTTAATTAACGTTATTCAATTTGTTTTAGACTATGTGTACTTGGGAATCGAGGTACAATTTGGTCATTGGGACCACATTTGAGAGGAAGGCATCCGCCAGACTATCTAGCTGGCTAAAGAGCGTTCGGGATAGTGGTGAACGTCCCGGTTGGATGTTGCCTCATATTTTTGATGAATTGGGTCGGTATTGGAACACAACAAGTTTAAGGCAATATCAGATCAAGCCAAAATGGCTAGAGACAGTCTTAAAGGTGGCTCGTTGCACACCGAAGGTGCAAAGACGGTTGGAACAATTGCACGAGAGATGGTAAGTTCTAATTCAAACTTTTAAATAAATAATTAGTTGATACATATATATCGTTATAAATTTCAGTTTCTATTTATAGGAAAAAGAATTGGGACGCACTCCCATTGAACCAGAGGTTTTCAAGAAGACTCATGTCAGGAAGAAAGAAGATGAGTCGAATCCGGATGTGTGGGTGGAGGAAAGGGTCGAACGAACTTTTGTAAGTTATTTATTATGAATAATATATATCAATAGTGAATATATTTATGATATGTATATATATTGATATCAGTTTTTATATTTAATATGCAGAATGACTTTCATAAGTACGTCGCTGAGAATCTAGATAGTTCGGTCCAATTGACACCTGAACTATCCACTCAGATTTGGAAAGAAAAAGTGGTAGGGGCGACACACAAGGGTAGATGCTATGGTCTAGGCTCTCGCAACGATGTTAGACGCCTTTAGTCAGGCTTAGAAGGTATTGGATCGTCACATCAAGCCGAGGCACTTGACGGTGTTCAGATTGCTGCTATGTCGGATCAAATAGCTAAACTTACAACGACACTAGCAGAGTCAGAGCGGAAAATAGTAGCTGAACAAGAAAGCATGAGTGAGACCGTTCAGCAAATCAAAGAACAAGTGATAAACCTCGCTCGTCGACCTACTACTTCGGCTCCCGATAACACCGACGACGAGAGTGATGAAGATGATTATGTAGATCTCACTCCCTAGTTTAGATCTTTGGACATTTATGAACTTTTTGAAATTTTGAAACAAATTTTAAAAGACTTTATAAGTCTTTAAATTATGATTTAGATACTTTTGAATGTTATTTTAAGTTTGTTGTTTTATGTTTTGTTTAGATTGTTTATAATTGTGTGTTTGATTGGGCTGAATAGTGTAGAATTGAATTGAATTGCATTTGCAGGTGGGCAGCAGAAGCTGCGAGCTGCTACTGTCAAATATATTGCAGAAAAAGCGACCGACAATGTGGTTTAGTCCGTCGCTTTTATGGGATTTTCAAAAAAAAAAATCCACAAAAGCGACGGACTTCGTCGCCTTTTAGAAATAAAAAAAAGAAAATAAAAATAAAACGACAGAGTCTGTCGCTTTTGTTAAAAAATTAAAAAAATAAAAGTAAAAAAGAGACGCAGTCCGTTGCTTTAATAAAAGCGACGCTGTCCTTGTCCGTCGCTTTTTAGCAACGCAGTCCGTTGTTTTTTAAAAAGCGTCGGGTTAAAAAGCGACGGAGGTGGCTGCGTCAATTTTGACCAAAAAAACGATGCAGTCTGTCGCTTTTGGCCGTCGTTTTTTGACAATTTTTTAGTAGTGAACATATGACAACTCTATTGGAATATGTACCAACATATAACTAAAATGTTGCAACATACGACACATCTTTCAACAAATAAAATATATGTTGGACAACTTAACAAGACTATATTTCTAAAATCATATGAACAAAATGGTCACAAAAAGAACAACAAAAGCAACAAAAAATGTCTTTTCACTGAATACTAACAATACATATACATTTTCTCAAAATTAGGATTTTTTTGGGTTTGTTGATTTTCTTTCAAAAATAATAAATAATAGGTATCATTACACCATTAGTCAATTTTCACATCTATAGAACGATTTATTGTTCACTAACCCAAGAAAAAAACTTAGTATCAAGAATGTATTATTCGAAAATTGTAAAATCTTTCAAAAAAAATGACTTCCCATTTTAAGTCGAACACGATCTTCAGTTCAGAAAGAGGAGAGAGTCACGATCGGAGATAAGGAGGAAAATAATGGAGAGAATATTTGTTTTGATAGTCGGATTTTCGAATTTTCCAAAGAAGAAAAATAAGAGAAGAGAGAACGTTGGGAGAAGAAGAAGAGAAAATTCTATTTTTTTTTCTTTTTAAATGGTTTGGATAGAATTATAAAAGTTGAAAAATAAAGTGGTTTTTTGTATTTTATAAAAGATAAGTGAATTTTGAAAATGTTAATTTAGTCCCAAATTTACTTAATTATATTTTAAAGTAATTTGATCATTTCTTGGTCAAAGTGTCACCAAAAACAAAACTCAAACTTAATTGAGGCTTTCATTTAATTTTCTCATGTGTACATCAACTATTAAAATCAGAAGAATCTGCCAAATTATTGAGAAAAGCTTGGACTGTTGGTTCAATAGAAGAATGGCGCTATCTCTTTGCTTCTCTCCACTCACTTCATACCCCTTTAATAAACCCATGATTTCATCAAGGCCAAAAATGTCTAAGTTGCGTGTCAATTGTGTTGAAGAAAATTCTCATAGTCGTCATCATGTGGCAGCGAAATCTAGATGGGAAGAATGGATATCAACTGCTGCTAGTCTTTACCCTGTCTATGTAACTGTTGGCGGAGTTGTTGCTTGTTTGAGACCATCCACTTTTTCATGGTTTGTTAATGCAGGTCCAACTTCATATAGTTTAGCTCTTGGCTTTATAATGTTAGCAATGGGTCTCACTTTGGAGCTCAAAGATTTGCTTAACTTGTTCTTGCAAAAGCCTCTTTCTGTGAGTTTATGCCTCTTCCTCTCCTTCCATTGAGAATTTAATTGTTGTCCAATTATTGTTTGGTTCGGCTTATTTGAAGTGTTTTAACTTTTAACCACTCCTGTAGCATTTGAATAATGATATACAAAACCCTTAACTTGACTTCAGTCTGTAAAAATCACAATTTTGGGTGTGCACAAATATACACTTAAACTTGTATAAAATTGAACAAATAGACACATTTGTTCTATATGTCCTCCTATATCAATATGGCAATTTTGTACCTTATGTGGCGTTCTATGTATATTATATCACGTCAGACATGTGTGTCTACTTGTTCATTTTATACAAATTTAAGTGTCTATTTATGCACACCCAAAGTTGGAGGATATAAATGTCATTTCAAGTCAAGTTAAAGGATATATTTATGTATAACTTTTTTTAAGCCAAAATAACAAAAAAAGTTAAAAGTCACAAGTTTTGCCTTATAAGCTGTAAACAGGCTCTTATATATTGATGAAATTCAGTGTCATGTTGCTCCTGCATTGTGTAGGTAGTGCAAACTTTCACCGAGCTGGTCTCTTATGATTTTCACCCACTTCAAAGGTCACATCCTTGGGTGCTAGAATTGTTTTTGATTCTGATTGAATAATTTAACATGTAAATGTTGGCCAGGACGGCGAAGATTTTCCTGCCATTTTTCTAAGTGTTTAATTTACTGCACTTAAAAGTAATACTTCTAACTTGCTACTCCGTTATTCCAATTTGTTCTTAAGATTGCTATTACACAATTAATGTCACTGAATGACTTCAATAATTGTTACAAACACATCCTATTGCTTATATTTAGTTGAATTTTATTCATATGTTGCTAGAGAGTGGTCCAGTCATATAAGAAGGATATCAATGAGCAGAAGAGTAAACCGTTAATTGATTATGCTCCAAGCACTAAATTAAAAAAAAACGAAAAATAGAATTCTTTACCTGTCCATTATGTAATCTTGCGCCTTCTGTTATGCTCCTTGTAGTTGTAGATATTACAATTTTTTTCCTATTCTTTGGGTTATTACTCCCTTCCAATCATAATGTCTGAAATAAGATTACCACTTCTTGTTGAAAGACTAACAAAAATGAAAGGGATATTTTCTATGCTAAGTTTCAAAAGATTGAAACAAAGTATAACTATGTGGGCTGAAAATCTATGTTCTTCCATCTTTCAGATTCTTTTTGGTTGTGCTGCTCAATATACAATTATGCCAGCCTTTGGAGTGATAGTTAGCAAATATTTGGCTCTTTCTCCTTCAGTTTCCGTTGGTCTAATATTGCTTGCTTGTTGCCCTGGGGGTACTGCATCCAATGTGGTAAGAATGACTCTCTCCTGTGTTATTATCCTTATTAAGCTAGTACATCAGGCTTAATTTCTTTTAAAAACGCGTTTAAATTGTTAAGGCATGAATTTCAGTAGGAAATGCACACATTTTTGCAATCCTTTATCCTTACAGATCTTTCAATCCCTGATTGTGTAAATCTGAATCTATCTGTCATGAATTTCCACTGAGCAGAGTGCTAAAGATAGCTTTCTTCTACTTCTTTCATGTGGTTTCAGAATATTGGTTAATCTTGCATGAGCCAGCATTGCTCTAACTGATTCTGATGAATAGAAATTGACAGTGATCCTAGATCTACATTTAGTTTACACCCTTGGGCCTCGACAAATAACAATGAATAACCAACTTAACCTATAATATATTTCCATTGATGGAGTTTTAGTGTTTTGTTATATAACTTTTAGGTTCGATTCTATTTAGATCGGACTAAACTAGTTGAGTTACTCTCAAACCTTCAAATACATCTATGTATACATATATAGAGTCCTTCCTTGTTTTGGCACCATTTTAACTTGGTAAAAGCATGTCCTTTATGATTAGTTTCTCATTTTTCTCCCTTTAATCACTTTATGCTTAACATCTTGCAGATGATTTCCTGTTGTGTTGCATCACATGTGCCGCTTTGGATCTGTACCTTTATAGTCAAATTTACTGCCGTTAAACATAATCAGTCCTAAGCTAGTGGTAAAGGACACAGACAACCGCGAACTTTATTATGTACATGCATGTGCTTAGTTTGGATTTTTAACTTGCTGCACCACTAGGTGGGTAAGGTCTGTGTACACACTACCCTCCCCAGAGTCCACTTCTGGGATTTCACTAGGCATGTTGTTGTTGTTGTTGCACCACTAGATGGGTACCTAGTAAATGATTGAGGTATATAGTTTGATAGTACAGTGCAATTAACGATATCATTTGAATTAGCTCTGCCAATCTGCCGTCTTAAAGTATTAGATCTCTCAACCTTGTTTTTTAGGAAAATAAACAAAAAAAATTGACTTTTGATGCCCTGGTTAATAGTAAATCATTTGAGCAGCATTACAGAACCCATAGCAAAAAGAAAACCTGAAAAGATAAGGAGAGAGGATATTGACCATCTTTAGAATAAAAGAGTGATTTCTCACATGGTATGGTGTCATGACTGGCAAATTGCCATATGATAAAATTGAAAATATGTATTGAAAATATGGTGCTTTTTTCTACGACATTTATCACATATCAAGACCCTTAGAAGCATTGTCCGTTTTCTGTTACCACATTCCTTCCCTTCTTGCTAAAGCTTAATTTCAGTTAGAGCACCTACAGTCTGGAATTTTTGGTCATTTGATTGCAACAATTTTATAACATGAGTTGAAGTTTAAGTTACAAAGAGATTGAAGGAAATAAACCAAGGCCCCTGTGAATAGCAAGGGCCTGAACGTGTGCTATTTATAAGGCAATTACACTACATAACTCTTTAAATTATATTTACAATAATATCCTTATCACCCTCCCTCAATCTGAAGTGGAGAAAAGAACATGAAGATTGTCACCGAAACTCCTTGAATTTTGTAATAGAGACACCTTTCGTAAAAACATCTGCAAGCTGTTGTGATGTGGAAACATGAGAAACCGTAAGGTCACCCATGAGCAGGAGTGCCTTTAAGATAGCGGAAGATTTGCTTAACGGCTTGAAGATGAATAAGAGGAGGTTGATGCAGAATTGAGAAGCCATATTCACAGCATATTGTACATACGGGCGTGTGAAGGATAAATATTGAAGACTGCCGACCATCTGACGATACAGCGAAGGATCATCAACAAGTTGAGTGTCCACAGAATGTCAATCAAGCTTACTATAAAGAGGAGTTCTGACAGGCTTAACTTTGGCCAAATCAAATTGATGCAAAAGGTCCGATATATATTTCCGTTGCAAGAGAAGAGCCCCAGCAGTATTGTGAACTATCTCCACACCTAAAAAGTAATGAAGGGAACCAAGATCTTTCATTGCAAATTCAGCTTTCATGGATTCGATAAAATCAGAAACTAGCCACTGTGAGGATCCAAAAACAACAATGTCGTCAACATAAATAAGAAGTATCAAAGTAGAATTGTCCTGTCGAAAAGTGAACATGCTGTGATCGGAAGTAGATTTCTTAAAACCAAGGTCCAAAAGATAAGTTGCAAGTCGAGTAAACCACGCTCTAGGTGATTGTTTCAACCCATAAATGGCATGACTTAGCTTATACACATGTTGTGGAAAATCATAATGTTCAAAACCTTTGGGTTGCCGCATATAAACATCTTCATTTAGCTCCCCATGTATAAAGGCATTAGATACATCTAATTGATGCATACACCAATTATTAAGAAGAGCCAAAGATAACACTACACGAACAGTGCTTAACTTGATCACAGGAGCAAAATTTTCTGTATAATCTAAACCTGGCAGTTGAGAAAAGCCCTGTGCAACCAAACGAACTTTGAAGCGGTCTATAGAGCCAGTAGGACCATACTTAATCTGATATACCCATTTATTTCCTACTATATTCACATTGGGAGGTGGAGGAACTAATGTCCATGTATGATTTTGGACGAGAGCATCAAACTCTTCACTCATTGCATTAAGCCACTTAGAGTCTTTGGATGCTTGTGTGAAGCATGTTGGCTCAACCGGTGCAGTGGAAACAGAGACATTAAGTGAGGGGAAAACACGTGGCTTTAGTGACCCGTTCATCAAACAAGTAACCATGACATGGGCACAGCTATCTGAGTGATTAGGATCTAAAGCTGGAGAAGAAATTAGATTAGAAGAAGATGATACATCTTGGCGAGAATGACGCATAACAGGATCTGTAGTGGAGGTAGTGTTACGAGAAAGAGGTTGCTGATTTTGTGTGGATAAAGGAAGAGTAGTTAGAATACGTGAATTATGCACAAGAGAAGGCGTTGGAGATAAAATAGGAGAACTGCGTACAACATGTACTTGGGTAGCTGGTTGAGAAAACTGATTATTTGAACATGAGGAAGTTAGAGTCCTAGGAGAAGTTATAGACTTGTTTTTAGGAGATATAGAGATAGAAGGGGAAGAAGTTGTATCGGAAGTAGTTTGGGAAACCATGGTGCTCTTGATACCAAGTTGAAGTTTAAGTTACAGAGAGATTGGAGAAAATAAACCAAGGCCTGCGTGAATAGCAAGGGCCTGAACGTGTGTTATTTATAAGGCAATTACGAGTACATAACTCTTTAAATTATATTTACAATAATATCCTTATCAACATGCCCAAGAATTGTTAGATTAATGGAAAAATATAATGTTTGAATTTACTCTTATACATTCAGATAACATAGTCTACGGAACAGAAAATCCATAGGCTTACTGCAAAGTTCATTTTTGCTTTCTGATAGTATTACAGGTAACCTTAATTGCACAAGGAGATGTACCATTATCAGTAGTGATGACACTGTGTACCACACTTGGAGCAGTTGTTCTCACTCCCCTTTTGACAATGATTCTGGCAGGCACATATGTTCCTGTGGATGCGATTAAGCTTTCCATCAGCACGCTACAAGTTAGTTTGTTTTCAATGTTTTGTTTTCTACAATTCTTACATTTTGATTCATCAAATAAGTTGTATCTGTTTTTCAGTGATTTATTTTGAAAAAACTTTTCGTGATACTCTTTGTAGGTGGTGGTTGCTCCGATTCTCCTAGGTTCTTATCTGCAGAGAAAATTTCCAAGAGCAGTGAAAGTTGTTGCACCGTTCGCTCCCCTTCTAGCAGTCTTAACTTCATCACTTCTTGCTTGCAGGTTTCAGATGTTGAAACTTTGTCATTATCACCTTTATGCTTGACAGTTACCAATTTCAAAAAAATAAATTATCACCTTGATGCTTGTTGCTCTCAACTGTCATTTTTTTGTTTCTTTATTTCCTAATTCTTTTCTCTCTTATATCAGTGTATTTTCAGAAAATGTTGTTCGTCTGAGATCTTCAATGGTTGGTTTGTCAGTTTCCTCTGATTTATCGCTATTTAATCGGGTTCAAGCAATATTCGCAAGTGAATTTGGGGCTGTAGTGGTTGCTGTGCTTTTGTTGCATTTTGCTGGATTCTTTGTAGGGTAAGAACATACCCCTTTTTGTTACACTCAGGTAAATTTGTCCCTAATTTCAGCATCCCATAGGAATTGTATTGTGATAAGGACCTTTGGCAGGTACCTGTCAGCCACCTTAGTCGGTCTTGCTGAACCTCAGAGACGTGCCATATCCATCGAGGTACGTACTTGATTATTCACCTAATGGGATAAAACCTCCCTGTGCTTGGAATTTTTAGTCTAGATAAGTTTAATCTATGTAGATATTTGTATGTTACAACTTTTGAACCTTTCTGTGTATGAGTTATTTAAGAGTCAGCAGATATTGCACCGTTTAGTCATGCCGACATTTAGTTAGCAATGGAGGTTGTAATATTTAATGTTTTGTCATCTGAAATAGAGCATTTTCCATTGAGGCAAATATGAAATATTATATTCAGAAAGGTAGACGATGGCTTCCAGTTCTGAGGGCATAAGCAATTTTTTGACATGACACAAGTGTTGGGTTCATTTTATAATGTGTGAATGGATAATGGTACATAGAATAAAGATTGGTGAATTAAAAATATGAAAGTGCTGCAAGTATGGATGGAGTTATTCCATTCATGAATACTCATGACAGATGAATGCAACATTTCGTATTTTCATGCAACCTTTCGTATTTCTAGGCTACCTTTTCGCATATCATGCATGAATCATTGTGCTCACCTATACGCTATAAATATCTGATTCTTTCTCAGATATTGACATAAGTTTTGAAATAAGTTTTTGACTTAAGTTTTGAAACAAGTTTACAAGAAGAAAAACACTACATAGTAAGAAAAAAGTTTCTGCTTTTCCAAAAACTTCAAGTGTGATTACAAGCCATTGAGTGGTTCGCTGGACAAAAAATTTGAGGTACCACTATTTGTTTGTCGTGAGTCATTTTATCATGGGAGGATATATTCCATAATCTCGAGTACTTGAGGGGAATAATTTCCTTAAGGAAACTCTTTGAATTCAGAGGACTTGACTCTTCGTTTTTTATTGAAACTTGTAAATGTGTATTCCTCAGCATTAAGGACATGTTGGACACCATCAAAAAGTGTTAGATAAAAACAAACAGCAACTAGAAAACAAGATACTTTCAGAGATCTTAATAAATCTACAAACTGATCTATATCCTCTAAACCTACTTCTTTACACCAAAAGTAGAAAGATATTATACAATTCCATTTATCTTTCTGGATGGAATTGGATCTATCTTCATAACACCTCCCATTTCTCTCTCTCCAAACTATCCACCAGATGCATTGTGGGATGATCCTCCACCACTTCTTTTGACTTTTGCTGCCTCCTCTTTTCATCCAGAAACTAAGCAAATCTGCAGTATGCTCCGGCATAGTCTAGCTTGTCTTTGTTATGTTGAGTAATAGAGACCAAAGTTGTGCTGTAAAGGTGCAGTGCAAAAATAGATGATTGTTTGTTTCATTTGTCTCATTGCATAAGAAGCACCTGGAAACTATGATGGCCCCTTTTTTCTTCAAAACTTCTTGTGTCAGGCATGCTCTTTTAACCACCAACCAAGTAAAGCATTTTACCTTGGTTGGGGATGGACTATTCTATAAGTTTCTCCATATTTTTGGTTGCCCTCTACACTGTACCCTTTCTTCCATTTTATAAACCCTTTTAACAGAGAATTACCCATCAATATTGTGTTTCCATCTTAATGTATCTGGTTCAGCAGTAGTACCATTGAAATCATCAATCCTATTTAGCAAATCGGTTACTCTATTGATCTCCCATTCATTTAGCAATCTCCTGAAGAATAAGTTCCATCCCTGTGCACTCCACATATCATAAATGGTGCCATCTGGGTTGTTGCTTAGAATAAACAGGTCTGGAAAAATCTCCATTAATGGACTTTGCTCCTTCCAAGCATCCTTCCAGAATTTTATTCTTTTCCCATCTCCAACTCTCTTCTGCAAGTTCCCGTCCAGTTTGGGCCATAGAGCTCTAATGTCTTCCAGACTCCAACTCCATAAGTATTAGTGCTCACATTTGGTACACCATGGGTTGAGTTCACCAAACTTGTGTCTAATTACCTCCCTCCATAATGCATGATCCTCCCCATTGTATCTCCAGAGCCATTTCATCAATAAACTATTGTTCTGTGCTCTTAGATTTCTGATGCCCAAGCCACCTTGTTCTCTACTGTGCATTGTTGTCTGCCAATTGACTAGTTTATATCATTTGCCCTCTTTACAGCCATGCCACAGAAAATCCCTCCTAAGTATGTCCAGCTTTTTCATAACTTTGGGAGGTATGGGAAATAGAGACATTACATACGTAGGAAGTGCATCAAGAACAGAGTTTGTTAAGGATGTGCCTCACTCCTAGTGATATGTACTGTGTCTTCCACCTAGCCAATCTTTTTTCAGTTTTCTCTAGTATTACATCCCAAATTTCCCCTGCCTTGTGTTCACTGCCCAGAGGTATACCAAGGTATGTAGTTGGCATATTTTCAACTTTGCACCCTAAAATGATTGCAAGATTTTGGATATTTGGCACCTCTTTTATCGGGAACAAACTGGTTTTTCCCCAGTTAACTTTCAAGCCAGAAGAAGCTTCAAAAATAGTTGAAATCATTCTGATGTAACCTATCTGTTCAACCTTTGGCTCACAAAATATCACTGTGTCATCTGCATACTGTAGGTGACATACCTCCATTATTTCCCCTCTGCTATTTCCTATCTCAAACCCTTTAATCCATCTATTTTGTAATGCTATCCTCATCATGCTATCAAATCCCTCCATTGCTAGTAGAAACAGGAAAAGGAAAGGAGACAGAGGGTCACCTTGTTTAAGACCCCTTTTAGAACCAAAAACACCTACAGGTTCACTATTCACCAAAACAGAGAACTTGACAGTTTTAATGCAAAAGTCAATCCATTTCTCACCAAAGCCCATTTGGCTGAGAGTATTCAACAAGAATCTCCAGTTTACATGATCATTGGCTTTTTCTATGTCTAGCTTACACATGACACCTGATTCTGCCCCTTTAAGTCTTGAGTCCACACACTCACTAGCAATTAGGGATGCATCCATGATCTGTCTTCCTTTTATAAATGTCATCTGATGCTTGTTAACTAAATTGTTAACCATCTTCTTGAGTCTTTCAGCCAGTATTTTTGCCACAATCTTATATATTCCACCTATGAGACTTATAGGTCTAAAATCTTTCAACTTTGAAGCTCCAACCTTCTTTGGGATCAAGGCTATGAATGTTGCATTGAGGCTTTTCTCAAACTTCTAATATTCATAAAAATATTGGAGAGTCTTGAGGATGTCCTCCTTTATAAGTTCCCAAAAAGCCAAATAAAAGGACATAGGAAATCCATCCGGCCCTGGTGCCTTCTCCATAGCACACAATTTAATGCCTTCTAAGATTTCATCCTCTTCAAATTGTCTTTGTAGCTCCTTCTGTTCTTCTGCAGATATCCGTGTAGCTTCATGTAATTCTGGCCTCCACTCTTCTGCCTCTTTATACAGGTTCTTGTAGTAATTTTGAATAGCTTCTTTGATCTCCTCTACATCTGTGACCTCCATACCATCCACCTTCAAGTTATCTATGGAGTTTACCCTTTTGTGAGTTGTAGCTATCATATGGAAGTATTTTGTATTTTTGTCTCCCTGTTTCAACCATTGTATTCTTGATCTTTGTCTCCAAGCTATCTCCTCATTTCTTGCAACTTCTTCAAACTCTAAAGCCAAATTTGATTTTTGCATTGCCTCATCATCTGAGAGAGCTCTTTGTTCCTGGATTGCTTCCAAAGCTGCAAACTGGTTTAAAATGTCACCCTTTCTTTGTTTCCAGTTGCCCCTGTTGTTTCTACTCCACTCTTTTAACTTTTCTTTTAGCATCTTCAGTTTCTCAGCTAAAATATAGTCAGGCCTCCCCTTAACAACAAAAGCTCCCCACCATTGTTGTACCTTTTCTTTGAACCCTTCTACCCTCAGCCACCAACTTTCAAATTTGAAGTATTTTTTCTTGAAGTTCAGCTCTCCACAAGATAGCATGATTGGGTTGTGGTCAGATCCTATCTTTGGTAATATTGTCTGTTTGATGAGAGTAAATTGCTCTTCCCATGATGAAGAGTATAAGAATCTATCGATTCTTGAGGCACTTCTATGATTCTCCCCCCTTCTCCAAGTATAAGATCCTCCAAATAAAAGAGGATCCACAAGTTCCATCTCTTTAATGCATTTAGAGAACTCAGAAATTGCTCCATTTATTCTGAAACAGTTCTTTCATTGGGGTATCTGATTACATTAAAATCACCACCCAAGGTCCTGCACACCTTCCCCCCGTTGAATATAGCTCCCCTTATAACTCTCTTCTTTCCACTCTTTTACAACCAGCATACACTATTGTTACAAACCAAAAAAAATCAGAATTTTCCCCAGACATTTTGCAAGTTATGCTTTGGTTGCCATGTTCTACCATTTCCCCTTTCCAAACTCTCATGTCCCATAAAATAACTATCCCCCCACCCCCCCCCCCCCCGGCTACAATCTGCCTCTAAATGTATCTCTCCCACCCATCTATTGTCCCAGATACCATGTATGAGTCTATCTATATTTCCCCCCAACTTTGTTTCTACCAAAATATACACATCTGCACTCCATTGATTAATCAGATTCCTTACCACCCCCCTCTTTCTTTTGGAATTGTGTTATTGTTGTTATTTGAGGATTTACCCTTTCCTGCATGTCTCTCCAAATATCTCTTTTGATCCAGCTTCATGCACAAAGAATAAGCCTCTTTTACACATCCCTTGATAGCTGCTCCAAAGGCTTACCCTAATTTGATCACATTAAGGTGTACCCAGATTGTAGCCATTGTCTCTATCATCTCTTCCGTGAGATTTTCTTCGATGCTCAATGGTTCTGGTTCATTGTAAGTGACCAACTGATTCTCAAAACTTTCTAGAAAGGAAGAATCTCCCCCGCTCATACAGTAACTATTTGTCTCCCCTTCAAAAGCTATGCTATCTTCTTCTTGAGTCATGTCCTCTGCCTGAGCCTCCTCGATTCTCTGATTTCTGGTTTTTGGTTCTCCTTCTTCCATTTGCATGTGTTTTCCCAGTTCCCAATCCATTATAGAGTGCTTAAAAGGATGTTTTGCTTCTCCCCAATTTGAGTTGATGAAATCAGAAAAAGGCTCAGTGAACATAGCAGTTTTGGGCTTGCTAGAAAGGCCCAAAACTTGTGTGAGATGGGCTTGTGTTTTATTCAGATTTAAAGTGTGCTCAGGGGGGCCACTTCCACTAGCCATGTGACTGTTGCCCTTTTCTTGTACCCCTTCCTTATTAACCTCGATATCCGTTGTTTTCTCTGTTGCTCATCTTGTTATTATATGATTTTTTTTGTTTCCGAAATTTATTTAACTTCATATTGTATATTTCATTATTTGTATGAAATTTGTTTGAAGTTATTTTGGTGGAAAAATAGATTTTGCACTACGATACTTAACAATCTTAAGGAAATTATAATTATCTTATTGTGTAATTGTTTATTGGAACTTTAATGTTTTAAATCTGAAGAAATATATGACAATACTTTATTTATCGTTGGTTTCTAGAGATTAAAACATTTTGTGGTTTTATGCTCTGTTTGAACTTGATACTGACTTGGAAAACCTAAAAAGTTCGTCAGAAAATCAAAGTCATTCGGTTAATGATTGAGAGTTATAAACTTCATCATTAAACTAAACAAACTGGAAATAAAGATCAAGTCTTTATTTGAAGACACTAAGTGTACTTGTCAAATTTGAGCAAGATGACTAATGAAATTGAAGGCATGGCTCATACGACATCGAAAATTGGTGCAATGAATATTGCTTGAGTCGAGTGGTTTATGGCATGAACGTTTGGGACATGTCAATTATAAGACCTTGCGAAAACTGATTAGTTTGGCAGTATTGCCTAATTTTGAGTGCAATAAAACACAATGTCAAATATGTGTGGAAGTTAAGTTTGCTAAGCATCCTTATAAATCTGTTGAAAGGAATTCCAATCCTTTAGATTTGACTCACACGGACATTTGTGATATGAAATCAACACCAACGCGTGGTGGGAAAAAGTATTTCATAACTTTTATTGATGATTGCACTAGATATTGTTATGTTTATTTGTTATCAAGTAAGCATGAAGCAATTGAAGCATTTAGGCAATACAAAATTGAAGTTGAAATTCAGTTGGATAAAAAGATAAAAATGATAAGAAATGATAAGGGTGGAGAATATGAATCTCCATTTGCGAAAATATGTTTGGAAAATGGAATTATCCATCAAACGACTGCCCCTTATTCACCACAATCCAATGGGATTGCAGAAAGAAAAAATCGAACTTTGAAGGAAATGATAATGCCTTACTTATAAGTTTAGGTTTACCACAAAACTTGTGGGGGGAAGCTATCCTTACAGCAAATCAAATACTCAATAGAGTGCCACATAGCAAGACACAATCTATTCCGTATGAAAAATGGAAAGGAAAGAAACCCAACTTGAAATATTTCAAAGTGTGGGGGTGTCTAGCAAAAGTTCAAGTTCCTATACCCAAAAGGTTGAAAATAGGACCAAAGACTATGGACTGTGTGTTTATTGTATATGCTATAAATAGTAAGGCATGTCCATTTTTGGTTCATAAATCTGAACATCCGAATATTCATGACAATACGGTAATTGAATCAAATAATGCTGAATTCTTTGAACACATTTACCTGTATAAAGCTAGACATGAAGAGTCTAGTGGGGGGTCTAAATGACCTCAAGATGAACCTAAAGAAAATATACAAAATGAAGAAAATCCAAGGCGTAGTAAGTGTCAAAGGATTGCTACTTCCTTCGGTTCAGATTTTGTAACATTTCTCATTGATAATGCGCCTCAAACCTTCCAAAAAGCAATGTCCTCTGCGGATTCATCTCTTTGGAAAGAAGCTGTCAATGGTGAGATTGAATCAATCTTGAATAACCATACCTGGGAGTTGATTGATCTTCCTCCGGGAAATAAGCCTTTCGGATCAAAATGGATCTTTAAAAGGAAAATGAAGGTTGATGGGACTATTGACAAGTACAAGGCAAGTCTTGTAGTCAAAGGCTTCAAACAAAAGGAAGGTCTTGATTACTTTGATACATACTCACCAATGACAAGGATTACATCTATTCGGGTGTTGGTTGCACTATTAGCAGCAGTATATGATCTTGAAATCCATCAAATGGATATAAAAACAGCTTTCTTAAATGGTGAGTTAGAGGAAGAAATTTACATGGAACAACCCAAGGGGTTTGTGGTTCCTGGTAAAGAAAGAAAAGTGTGCAAACTTGTGAAGGCACTTTATGGACTGAAACAAGCACCCAAACAGTGGCATGCAAAGTTTGACCAAACAATGTTGGCAAACGGATTTAAGATTAATGAGTGTGACAAATGTGTTTACATTAAAGACACTCCAAATCATAAGGTCATTGTTTGTTTGTATGTGGATGATATGCTAATCATCAGTAGAAACTTAGTTGACATAAATGCTAATAAGCAAATGCTTACTAGTATATTTGAAATGAAAGACCTTGGAGTGGCAGATGTTATATTGGGAATAAAGATTCTTCGAACTCCACAAGGTTTGGCTTTGTCACAGTCTCATTATATTGAAAAGGTACTTGACAAGTTCAAGTATTTGGATTTCAATATTGTCAAGACTCCAATAGACGTGAGCTTTGCACTTCGAAAGAATAAAGGTGAAAGTGACTCACAATTGGACTATGCGAGAGTGTTGGGAAGTTTGATGTATATCATGAACTGTACAAGACCAGATATAGCATGTGCTATTAGTAAGTTGAGTCGGTACACGAGCAATCCCAATCAAACTCACTGGATGGCAACGAAGAGAGTTTTAGGGTATTTAAAACATACTCAAAACTATGCTTTGCATTATGACAAATATCCAGCAGTAATTGAAGGATATAGTGATGCAAATTGGATCAACGGATCAGATGAAGTAAAATCCACAAGTGAATATGTATTTACTCTTGGTGGTGGAGCAGTCTCTTGAAAATCATCCAAACAGACATGCATTACTCGCTCCACTATGGAATCTAAATTTATCGCTTTAGATAAAGCCGGTGGAGAAGATGAATGGCTCCGGAATTTCTTGGAAGATATTTCGTATTGGCCTAAACCATTAGCACCTGTATGCATACATTGTGATAGTCAGGCTGCAATCTCGTCACATAAAACGGAGACATAATACCGTTAGAGAACTACTCTCTAGTGAAATTATCACAATTGACTATGTAAGGTCAAAAGATAATGTATTAGATCCACTTACAAAAGGCCTAACTAGAGAGGGAGTTGAAAGATCATCTAAAAGGATGGGTTTAAGGCCTAGGACAAGTGAAGCATGATGGTAACTCTACCTAGCAGACTGGAGATCCCAAGAGCTAGGTTCAAAGAGATCAAACAAAGTTGTGTTTGACGGTCCAACATTGTCAAATAATCTAACCCATTCTCATATGAAGACAATGTTTAGTAACCAAGGATAAAGCTTATATTGAAGCTTTTTAATGGTTTCTAAGTTTGGCAAGGCATGACCAAATAGTTTCTCTACGGGAGTAAACATTTAGGAATCACTTATGTGGGAGTGAAGTGGAAGCCGCTTCAAGGAGAATGCTAGTAAAGGCCGATTCTCTAAGCTCTCATGAAACCAAGAAGTGTTCATGGCTGAAACGAACAAAATCGTGAGAACCATAAATGGTAAAAGGTTGGTTGTGTGACTTATATTTTCTAGGTGTACATTCAAGTTCGACGGTTTAAAGATATCGCATCTACCGATTGATCGAGTGCATCCGATATAAGTTAACTACGGAAAGTTCAAAGGGAAACCCACTTATCCTGATGCAACTAGTCTTTGTTTGTAATCACACACTAGTCCGTGTATATCTATCTTTCGTGTTATAGCCATTCTCATTCACGTGGGGGATTGTTGGGTTCATTGTATAATGTGTGAATGGATAATGGTACATAGAATAAAGATTGGTGAATTAAAAATGTGAAAGTGTTGCAAGTATGAATGGAGTTATTCCATTCATGAGTAATACTCATGACAGATGAATGCAACATTTCGTATTTTCATGCAACCTTTCGTATTTCTAGGCTACCTTTTCACATATCATGCATGAATCATTGTGCTCACCTATAGGCTATAAATATCTGATTCTTTCTCAGATATTGACATAAGTTTTGAAATGAGTTTTTGACATAAGTTTTGAAACAAGTTTACCAGAAGAAAAACACTACATAGTAAGAAAAAAGTTTCTGCTTTTCCAAAAACTTCAAGTGTGATTACAAGCCATTGAGTGGTTCGCTGGAAAACAAATTTGAGGTACCACTATTTGTTTGTCGTGAGTTATTTTATCCTAGGAGGATATATTCCATAACCTTAGGTACTTGAGGGGAATAATTTCCTTAAGGAAACTCTGTGAATTCAGAGGACTTGACTCTTCTTCCTTTCATCTTGTTATTATATGATTTTTTTTGTTTCCAAAATTTATTTGACTTCATATTGTATATTTAATTATTTGTATGAAATTTGTTTGAAGTTATTTTGTTGGAAAAACAGATTTTGCACTACGATATTTAACAATAAGTTGCTACAAGGAAACTTGCCAACTCATGTTGACATTTATCTGCAGTGATCATCCTTTTGTACTTGATATTTCCGCACTTGTATGGACACTTTCGCTGATTTCAAAACTAAAACCTTAAAGACGGATAAGAAACTTATGATTCCTCATTAGACATATTTTGAGAAAGATTTAGTTTTCATTTCCCTGCTCCTTAAATTGATTTTTCCTGTGACCTATGCAGCAATGATGTTGAACTTTCTTTTTGAATTGTTTTGCAGGTTGGCATGCAGAATTCCTCCTTGGGAGTGGTTTTAGCGACCGCGCATTTCACATCACCATTGGTTGCATTACCTCCTGCAATGTCAGCTGTCATTATGAACATAATGGGCAGTACTTTAGGTTTCTTTTGGAGATATATTGACCCTTCTGATTCAAACATTACTCCAGAAGCCACTGATAAATCATAGTAAGATTCATGGTCACCATTTTCTCCTTCTGGTACAATTTTCGTCAGCTTTGTAACTTTGCTCCTCTCTGTTTATATTTCTGGTCCAACTGAGTTCAATACAAGTTCATGACATAGTTAGCTTATCTACATTGATAATATGAAGAGTTCATACATTATTTTATTTTATTTTTGGGGTCAGAAAACATACATTATCTGTAAAGTTTAATTTGTTGTTTGCTATATTTTGTGGGATAGTAATTCCACTTATTAAAAGTGTAATAGTAAGGAGCCTGATTATGTTTCTAGTCTTACGGGTTTCTGAAATTTCCCCTAAGAAGATTTATTCACTTAAAATAATCTATCTATATATAAAAGGAGAAGAAAAAACGCCTACGTGTCAGCACCACAAAAAAAGAGAATTTAAGAAATTATTAAATTAATTTAAAATCTAAAAATAAAAAATAAAATTGCAAACACTACAAAAATAATGAAAAATTCAACAAGCAGTTTTTACAGCTTTTTTTAAAAATTCAATAATTTAAAGTTACCTTAACTTTTTACTGTTTTCGAAATATTTTTTATTCTTTTGATTTCGAATAAAAAAAGTAGGAGATATAAAATAATATTATAATAATTAGTATCATCTTTCATAAAATATCAAGTCCGAAAATTATTTTAAAACAAAGCACTTCATTTATTTATTTTATTTGTTAACTTACAATTTTATTATGCAAACTTAGTTACTATTTTTAAATTTTAAACTGAATGTCAAACAAATTAAATAACAAATCTGACGTTAAAACAAATAAAAATAACTTTTTCAAAATAAATATTAAAACTCCTTTTAAGTATTTAAAATTAGAATTACTACCAAAATTATCAACAAAAAAGTTAAAATTACTACCAATTAAAAATCTATTTTTTAAATTAAAAATTTAAATTACGAAACACAAAAAGATAATATAAATAACTAATTAACAAAAAAAGTAGAAAATAAAAACTGTCTTTTGACAAATATCTCCTATTTTTTAATTTCAAAACATAACTAACTAACCTTATCCCTATAAAATACACAATTTCATAACCCCACGACTTCCAAAAATAAACTGCTACCCACAACTTTATCAACCCAGTTTTTCATAAAAATCTATTATTTTTAGAACTTATGTCATCATCCACTTCTATAGTTCAACATGTATTGTGCATGATCCTGTCCGTCTTTGTATTTCTTGCATTGTTTAGCCATCTCCTTGACCAAATCGTGATAAGGTGATGTGCACCAACATCGATGTTTTTAACTGGCGGGATGATAATTAATAGAGATGGATTATCATAATGACTCTTCAACTTTTTTTTCCTAACTTGAATAATGATGCCTCAACTTGAAATGTATTACATGATCATGTTGAAACGATGACTAAATCATTATATTATTTAATTCAGGTATATGAAAAAAGTTATATGTACTGAGATGCAACTATTCATGAGTTATTTCAGTATTAGATTTTGTTATTAGTTGATGTGTTGATGGTAATACAAAATATGAATAATTTTTTATTTTATCTAATCTATTTAATTAATAAAATTTGAATAAATTATAATCTATAGAGTATTGTTATTTAGTTATTCATTTAATAATAATAATTATACATATAGTTTTGCCCTCTTGGTGTGTTATTGCTTAAAATATCTTTGATCTATTGTCAATAAAGTCTTTTCTTTATTTTCTTGACTTAAAAATATCCATTGCTTCAAAAGTTGATGGACTCATTCTGACTTTTGTTGTCTGTTCAGTGCAGAGGTGCAATACCTAATGAAGGCGGCAACTGCTTATAGCTAGATGATTAATGGATGGAGAGCGGGTGTTTGCACAGCGGCAAAAGACAATTCTACCTATGTGTAGCACTTCATAGTTCGTACAATGTCTTTTTAAGATAGTTCTTTTATTTCAATTTGTGTGACTAAATATTGCACTTCATAGTTCGTACAATGTCTCTTTAAGATAGTTCTTCCATTTCAATTTGTGTGAGAAAAATTAGGAAACAGGGATAACGAGGTAACGTGGGGTAGTTAATGCAGTTGCGATTCGAGTGGAGAGTTAATTTCCAGATTAAGAATTTTTCATATTATTTCATTTTTTTTATATTTTGTCTTCTATTTTTGATTTTTTTTTTTTTAAATCAACACAGTAATAATAATATTTATAATTTCCATGTTATTTAAAAACACATCTTACATCAAATTCTAACCCTCAAATATTTAGGATGTCGATAAAGAAAAAATTTAGAAGATATTTACTTCTGAATTATCAAAAATAAAGTTGAGAAGTTATAACTACTTTGAAACTATTTGTAAATAATAATTTTTACTTGGAATAATTTTATATATAATTCATCAATTTTAAAAACTACTTTAATTTATAACCTATTTGGTATAAAATGTATTAAAATTAAATTAAAAAATTAATTTGAATTGCACTTGAAAGATAAAATATTTAAATTTTGATTAGTTATTTTTTTCTTTTAGAAAAGAAAGAGAATTAAAGATGAAGAAAAATAAGAAAAAAATTCAAAAGAAAATATGAAATTTGTTTTCAATTGTATTTTTTACATAGAAAACTACATCATTGAAAACACCGATTTCTTAAAAGTATGTGAATACTTTATAATTTACGGATATGTTAGTGTGAATATAAAAAGTAAATTATTTTATTGGATGCTAAACTGTCATTTTAATATTTAATTTTTACTCAATATGTCATATTGATAGTTTACTGAAAGGAAAAGCGTATTAAAAAATGAAAAGCAAAGTAATGAGGATGATAAAAAGGATGAAGATATTGTACGTGTGCGCGAATTATTTCTAAAATCATTTAGTTTTTTTAAAACTTTTTTAAAAAAATTTATTTTGTTGTGCATCCTTATTTTATGAAATTATATTTGATTAAAATATTTGTGCAACGCCCGAATACATATACTAGAATGTTCTGCATGTCCCCCGTTGTATTTTTAATAGATTTTTTATATAATTGAAGTAGAATTTTTTTTATTTGATTCTTACAGGAAATAAGATTTATTATCATTGTTATACAAGGCTCTAAGATGAAGTAACGTAAAAAAATGTACATTATATTCTATAAATTACTATTTCATTGCTTATATTGTTTCTAACAAGGATTTAATGCCTTTTTTTAGGTAGAAGGAAGAGGTAATGAAGTAACATTTAATTGTATATATTTATGCGCTCTATCTAATCAATCTATATACAAAAGGAGAAGAAAAAATGACACATGTCAACACCACAAATTTTCAGTATTTTAAATAATTGATAATCAATAATAAATCTATCTATATATAAAAGGAGAAGAAAAATTGGCACATGTCAACACCACAAATTTTCAGTATTTTAAATAATTAATAATCAATAATAATTAAATAAATAAATATAGACATATGTCAATAATTAGAATTAGAACGACACATGTCATCACCACATAAAGTAGGATTTTTAAATAATTAAAATTTATTAATTACATGTAATAGGATTAAATAATAAAATCCAATTTTTTGTAATTATCTTAAATTCGAAAATAAAATATTAAATTTATTTATTAAAAGATTACTTAAAATTAACGTGATATAATCATTTTATAATTTTCAAAATTTATATAAGATAATAACTAAAAAATTTAACTATCTAAATCTGAAAAACAAAAAATAAACATTGCAGAACATGAGTGTGATTATTAATTTTCAAATTTTAAATAAAAATAAAAATTGCTCCACGTTAGTCAGTGGATAATTTTAAGGAACAATTCAATTAATGGATAATTTTAAGGAATAATTTCAAATTTTAAATTATTATAAAATAAAAATTACAAACTTAACTAATAATAATATTAATATTAATATTTTTTCAGAAATGTTCCAAATGACTATCACACATAAAATTCTTTTCCCGGTATCAATTTTCAAAATAAAATTCCCCCAGAAAAATTCGAAAATATCAAAAATATACAAAAACTATATTTTTTTTATTTTTTTATTTTTAATTTGAATTGATCACAATCCTTATCTGATTGATGATTTTTGAATTTCAAATTGATGACAACTTCTTATCAACGATTTATTAACTTCTCATAATGAATGACTTCTTACTGCATTATAATTATCCTATAAATAAACTACCCCACTTCTTCTAAACCAACCCCACCCACTTCTTCTCCTTTTGTTCTATTTTTTTTCCCCGTTAATCAACAGGGAAAGAAATACTTTGGGATGCATACACTTACTTTGTTTTCGTTGTCTTCTTGAATTTATTTTTCATATTGAAAAAATCTATAATAGTTCAAATTATGAGTTTTTTGATATAATATAGTATCATGATTATCTATATGATTAGTTTTCTCTTATATATATATATCAAAGTAAGATACATCCAAGGAGGGATCAATCCTCCATGAGTGAAGGAAATTTTCTATATATGTCAATATTCAATCAAAGAGTACAATTCTATATATGTCAATATCCAATCCAAGAATACAATAGTGGTACAATTATTGGTCTGATGAAACTAACGATAGTTTATGCTTCTTTGAAAGAATTCTTTTCGCGAAAAACTTACTTTTTATATTACAAATATTTTGAAATTCTAAAATGTTATGTTTCAGATGGGGTGTTATTAGCAATGAAGAAGATAAAACAAGAATATTGATGTCGGGGCCATAAATTCTATGTCAGGAAAGGAAAAAATTAAATAAATACTAGGAGAAATATTTATATAAATATATTTTAGTAAGGAAATACTTAAATTTAAAATCAGAAAAGGAACAAAAAAATATTATTAACTAAGTAATAAATAAAATTAATTTAAAATCTGGAATTAAAAATTTAAAACAATTTAAATCTTAAAATCTATTTAAAGGAGAAGAATACTTATGCACGATGGAGTTTTTTAAAACATAATTCATATTCAATTAACAAAGTTAATTTATAATCTGTAATTTAAAATATTTTAAATCTGAAAATCTTTTTAAATCTGAAAATATTTTCATTTTAAATAACAGAAAAAGAAGAAGATAACTTTACCCTTTTTTTAAAAAAAAAAAATCTTCCCACGTTTTAAAAAATAAGACGAATCTCTT